ATCAGGCAGATGTTTGTGTGCTGTGCTTTCTGTAAATGTAAAAAGCTTCTGGCTCCCAGGGGAGGTTTTGCAGGTTAAAAGCTTCAGTGTTACACAGTAGCAACACTCCTTCAACACAAACACACACACAAATCCATTTTCACTTTTCTTTTTAGCAGAGGAAAAATACCAGCAAAGCTTACAGTCGGTAAGAAAAAGTTAGTGAACAAGATTCTCCAGAGTTAAGAAGAACAGGTAAGGCAAGGGCAGGTCACTGTTTCTATTAGGATCAGAAAGAAGCTCATTCTGAAAAAGTCTTCCTGCTTAAACAATGCAATCAGGAGCAGGCAAGTCTTCTAGCATATGAATCAAACAGAAAGCCCACAGCACCCTCTCAGCTGCGATGCTTCTAAGCTGTGGACAGGGAAAGATTTTGAGTCACCCCCATCCCACTCTCACAAGTCCATGCATCCTAAATCTTTCCTACTCCAACTGCTTGGATGAGCCACAGGGTAGATACCATTAAACAAAACCTGGTTTTAGCAACCATCCTTGCCAAAGGTGATCAGATAAGAAAAACGTTCGCTTTATTTTCTCCTTTCCTGAAAGCCTTAAAGCAAAACACCGAGCGACTGAAGACTGAAGCAAGGCCACACATCAAGCCAGATGTATAGAAAGGATTAGCCTACAGCTGTCCCTGGCTCACAGCCGTGCACTCATCCCTCTGAACCACACTCCCTGGGGCACACACAACACTGTCAGACTGCTACAAGCACCAGCTGGCCTAGAAAGCTCTGGACCTTTAAGCCCCATCCCAGGCATGGCAACGTGCCACAAAAAAAAAAAAAATCTGTCTGTGCCAGTTGTCTGTGCCCAGAGCACAAACACAGTAAACAAGCTAAAGAACTGCTCTTCTGTCCATAGTCTTTCCAAAGAGGGGGAAAAGGCAGCCTGCAGTACCAGTCCATAGGGCCAGGTCAGTTTTACTCCACTTCAACTTGACAGCAGGACATTAATCACAGCTCAGCTGATGTTCTCTCTGTACTGTTACTCACCCCCTCTGTATGCAGGGGGTGGACCTCCAGATAGCATCCAGCTCACATCACATCCATCTTATCAGGGAAAGTCTGCTTGTACTTCCTTCCCTCAAATGCTACAGAGCTGAGGCAGCTCACATCACCCCAAAGCTACAGAACACCCAGAGTTGGGATTTAAGCCGCAATCTGTGTGTAAGAACATTCCTCAGTCACACACAGTTTCCAGATGGGCAACACTGGAGCATCAGCAACTCCTGAGCCCCTTCAGGATCAGTGCCACACTAATTCAGTCTGCTTCTTGCAGAGCTCTCAGGCAGGTTTGTTCCAAGATCACACTGCAGCTCCATTTCAGGGGGATGGGGCAGATGTAGTGACTAGCTGATAAACCACTATTCAGATAGTCACTGACTTTTAAATCCCTATAAAACTATTTAGCTGAAGCAAAGCAGTTGGTGTCTCCCAAAACTGAATATGCCAATGTTCAAGACACTAAGAACAGAGATACAGCTAAGAGGGTCTCAAACTTCAGGATCTGTATGGGCAAGGACTGACTTCAGTGGCTGCCTGAGCTGGAGCAGAGAGACTTCTTGATTTAGAGTTTCCCTTTGACGGAGTCTTTATCAGAAACAAGTTGGTGTGCCTAGACAGGCACACACAGCTGTCAAAAACCTCATCAGCTTGAGCCAGAGGTAATTTCAGATATCTTTATAAACAAGAATAAATATTAAGACTTCTCTTGGACGCTGCATTGATATCAAGCAGTCTTGTTGCCACCCAAATGTTCCAGCACTTCTTACCCAGAGCCACAATAAACAATCCACAGCCCTAGACAGATCTGCACATTTACTAAACAAAGAAAATGCAATAGCTCACAGCTGGGGATTGCCTAGAACAAATCAATAAGCTCAACTGCTGAAGATCATCCCTTACCCATGCGCCAGAAACAGGTGTTCTTTTATGGCTCAGCACAGCATTATGACAGACTGAAGTTCTAGATCTCGGTGCTGCACCTTTCATCTGGACTTGATAGGGTGCTAGTTTTTAAAAAAGCAAGTCCAAAACCTGTTTTGACCATTTATACATTAGACTTCAGTGAAAATTAAGAAGGGCATTAAGTGTAAAACTGTAATTCCCTCAGGAAGTCACCCTTCCATGCACAAGAATTAATTCCCTTCAGCCTCCTGTGATACTCAGCTTCCCACCCAGAAAGCTGGATGGCCCTGCTTCACCCAAGCCAGTGATCAGCCAGAAGAGAATTTCCTGCTCAACCCAGCATGCTGATTTATTCTAGCTCAGGTGCTCCCAAAGCATTACCTACAGTGCAGAATTGATAACAATCCCTTCTCCATTTTTATTTTATTTGAAAAAGTGACGCTGCTTAGTATTCCCATCCACACACTTGGAAGTTAGTACTAACCTAGGTTTTCCTCATACTCTGCTAAGTGTTTGACTATTTCTTCCAGCATATACCCCATCCTCACCAAGGATGGCTTCGCTCCCAGTAATTATTTACTGAAACACTGGCAGCTGTCACAGTTACTCACATGGAGTAGTAACTCAGGGAAAGCTCTGTTGTTCAGAGCTGTGTAGTAATTGGAAGTGAATCAGCACCCTGACATCAACCCATCCTACAGTGACCACCAGCAAAGCAGTGGTGACTGCAGTTTGGCAACCTTGGTTCTCAGACATTTACTCACTGGCATTCTGCAGGCATTAGACATCTCTGCCTGAAAGCAACTGGTGTCTTATTTGTATCTTGCACCAGCAGCTTAATTTGCTAACTCCTGTCACATGCCTGCAAACATGGAGGAGCAGAGCAGCAAGTTTCACAGCCAGCCTTGTGCATCAGCCTTTGGTAAGGTCAAGAGCTTGTTAGTATAATCCATGCGGGTCTAATATAGGTGCTGCTATAATGCTGCCATAACTCTATCAGTTAATACAAGCAGAAGCTTCTCTCCACATGACAGCAAAATAAGCTGCATCAACAGAGCACTTCTGCATAGCCCTGCTGAGGGCTCATTGATAGCCCTTGCCAACACCAGCTAATCCTTTCTCCTCCTGTCAACATAAGCTCTGACTCCAGACTGAATCAGTGTATGTATTGTGTGTGTATATATATAAATAATAATAAATATATATATTTTGGGGGGGGCTTCATCCCAAAACTGTATGCACAGCTCATATGGGTATGAGCTTGCCAGCCTCAGCTGGCCTTCAAACACCACTTCCATCAATTCAGGAGCATCAGCCATGAGATCTGACTGAAACATGAACGTCAGAGAGCCACAGAGCATACTTTCTTTCACATCCTACATTCTGCAAGAACACTAACTTGGAAGATTGGTTGTCAGTGGTCTGCACTCATTCACAAAGCTCGGCATACACCACATCCTGACTGGCTCACTGTTGACAGATTTTTAATTTGGTTACTTCCATGACTTTTTAATTAACCCTCAGGACAGATTAGAAGAGACAAGCAGCCTTTGCAGACTTCAGTCACTTTTTCTGAGGGAAGGAAACATAGAGGGGCAGAGAGAGAGAAGAGCAGCAAGCAGAGCATATTTTCCACATCCAGTATCCAGCTGCAGGGATCTGACTCCACACAAACACAGCACATCTCAGCGAGCCAGTTCCTGGAACACAAAACCACATCTCTGAAACATCTAACATGAGTTTACAAACAAACTCCAATCACATCACAGTGCAATTCAGTAACCTCTAAAGCAGGACAGGGGCTGTGAAAGCTCGCTGCTGATGTACTGCAACAACACAATGCCCCCCAGAGGAATACGCTGCTGAAGTTCATCCCTTGTCCTCAATAGAACTAAGGGGAGAAGAATAAATTGCAGCTTTGCGCATCCATCATCAGAACCCCTGAGAGCCACACCAGGGCTGGGGGCCAGGCATGCTGATGAATGGGGAGGGGACAGGCGCACCAGCAGCCGGTTGGCCAGGGAAGACTGCTCCAAAGCCAGTCAAGTGCCTCTCACAGTGCCACTTGCTTTGTAAACAGCAGCACAGCTCCATCACGTTCCCAGTAGCCTCCCGACCGACTTGCTGCAGAAACAGCCTTCTTCCTAGGCTAAGAATAGGTACTTTGACCTTGTCGATTCTATAACCAGACCTGAAAAAGATCACATCTGGGACAAAAGGATCATAAACTCCTCCTGCATCACTTCCAGTGAAAGAAAAATCAATCTTTTTCTAAGGCAGCAGCTTCCATCTTTGTAACCATTCTGTAAACCTCCTTATCTGGAGCAATGGCTCAGTGTGAAGATTTCCAACCAAGCACGGCCTTTGTGCCCATCAGTCACAGCCTGCCTGCTTCTCCATCAGGCACAACAGATCCCACATCTGCACCAGGCTATGGCAGCTTTACTCTCCCTTTAAAATAACGCTCCAGGTACTTCAGCTAGAGGATTATATAGGCTCCCATTATACCAACACAGTAAAAAAAAAAACCAAAAAAACAAAAGAAGCTGACATGTAAATTCACCCCTGCAAGGCGTGCTCCAGAGACCACCAAACGCAGCACTGCAACCACAGACGCTGAACAAACAACGCCACTTCCTCAAGAGCCCAACTTACTTCAAGTCATCGTCTAAGCGATACTAGCAGCGTTTATTCTGCAAACCCGCACGCTGCCGTGCCAGCCGTTCCCGCAGCCCACCCGCACCCCGGCAGCCCCAGGTCGGGCCCCAAGTCAACTCGGGGGCTGACGGTGCCCGAAGCGCGCCGAGCTTGCGAGAGCCCCCGAGCCGCACCGCTGGCTGGCTAAACCCGGTCTCAGCCCGGCGGCTCGTTCGTTTTTCTAGTTATTGTCATCTCGGAGCCGGCGCGGATTTCTGGCAGCTCGCACGGCCGAGAGAAGCGCCGCTGCAGAAGGAAGCGGGGAAAGAGAGGCCGCCGCAGCCCGGAGCTCGCCGGCCGCCGCCCCGGGGAAAGGCCACCGAGCCCCCGCCGCCCGCCCCCGCCGGCTCCTACCGTTCCCAGGGCGCCCGCCGGCCCATGGCAGCGGCCGCGCCGGGTCCCGCTCGCGGGCCGCCCCGCCGAGCGCCCGTCCCTCCGCCCCCGCCGCGGCGGGCAGGCTGCAGCCGCAGCACCCGGCTCCTCCCGGCGCCAGACGCGGCGAGTGGGGCGCCGCGCGTCACATGGCCCAGCGAGCGCCCGCGCCGCGCCCGCCCCTTGCACCGCCCCGCCCGCGGCCCCGCCGTGTTTGCCCAGCGGGCGGCCGCGGGCTCCGCTGTGGCCCCGCTGGGGTCGGGGTGGAAGCTCGTCGGAGTCCGCCCTGTCCTTTCTGCGCGAGGAGTGGCCGAAACGGCGCCTTTCGTCCGCTCTCTGTTTCGGTCTTTGTGGGGAAAAAGGGCGCTGCTCGGTCTAGCCGCTGTTCAATGAATTTCATCCTGATGGGTGGACGCACCGTTGCAACATTTGCATTGCAAAAGCTCTCGGGAGATGTGTTCCCTTTTTTAAAACTGATTTGTTTAGAAATATGAATCAGTGAAGTACGACTGTTCATTCCAACAAGCAAATGGCCAGGTAACATCTCTGAGATGGTGCAGTTTCGGTGTCTGTAGTGATACAGCTTGCAGCTATAAAGTGGTGAATTGTCATAAATGAGGTGAGCCATGCAGCTGGGTGTCTTTATTTGCATGTCCCTGCTTGCACAGTGCTTTGCTTTTGTCCCTGTCAAAGCTCCTTTGCAGCACAGGGTACAGCTGTAACTGTGCAGCTGTGTTCTTACCTCCCCTTTAATTGCAGCACTCACCCACTATTCTCCTTTCTGCACTCCTCTTAAGGACTCAGGGAGGTGAGTAATGCTGAAGGTAATTCCCGAGTATATGGACTTGCTGAACCCTGGGAGGCTGCAGGCTTTTGGCCACATTTCCCAGGCCATACGTTAATGGACAACTTACAACAGAACTGCACGGTCCCAGGGACCATAAGCTCCCTGCTGCTAGGTTGTTTCTTTAGTGAGGTCACACCCTGCAAGGTAGAAATGGGAGATGTTTCCGGTTAAATATATAGTAGTTTCAAAACTACTCTGCTTTGACCTAGTCCTGCTTTGGTGGCTTTGTTTTGTTACTGTCAAGGTGGGAGGCTACTGTAATGTGAGAGAGGAGCAAAGGCTAACATGAATTCATAATCTAGGAAGGCAGTTGCTAATTAGCTGGCCGACAGGATCTCTTGATGCTTAGACATGTGGATGGGGAAATTTCCTCTCACCCTAAGATCTTCCCCTGCTCATCTTCTGTGCCACAGGGCATAACAGAGCAGTGACCAGGGCTAGAGGCATTCAGGAAGCCCAGGTCTCACTCACAGGGATTCCAAAAGCAGGTTCTCCTCACTGCAGCTCCCCAGGGCTCTTCAATTGGTCAGCACAGCACGAGTACCTTCTGCAGCAGCAGAGACATGTCAGCACCAAGTCGAGGCGATGTTAATGAGGTCTGGGAACTGTGTAGGAAACTCAGCAGGCTTCAGCCGCCCACAAATTTAGCCGTTCTGCTGCTTCACCACAGTGGTGTGAGCTGCCTCCCTGCACAGCACACATCTGTTTCTTGAGGCCTGAATGGTGAAAGCAAGGTAAGAAAGGTTATGGTCCTGCCAAAGCAGAAAGAAAAGCAAAGAGCAAAGAGAAAAGCATGAGGTGTGATGTGATTCCTTCAGCCTGAATGTTGGCTCCCCTAACGTTTCTGTGTTCAGGGTGGAGAGGAAGCAGCATTCAGAAGCTGAAATTTGGGCCGACTTCTTTTGTAGCAGCTGAGGTGGAGACAGTCTTGTTCAGCTAAACCCATACAAGGATACTCCAGACAAAAAGGAAGGATCTATGAGCTGTCATACCTTTCTTCTGCAGAAAAAGATCAGGATCAGATTAGCTGCAAAAAGCACAATAGGATTTCACTCCACCTCTTCCCCACAGACAGTGAGTTTTGTGTCTGAAAAATGTCAAAAAGCAACTGGTGATTTTGGGTCCAAAATTGTCTTTCATGTGGCAAAATTATATAAGGGACGTGTGAAAAGCAAGGTCTTCTGAGGCATTGGAGGGTCAGATAATTAAAGCTGACCATTAAATCATAGACCATTATCATCCTAGCAGGGCTGGGCCAACTCCACTTGGCCCTTCTGCTTCCAGTGACCTCTGACAATTGTTTTTTCCATCTATGAAATTAGAGTATGGCTCCACACTCGCTGCGAAACTTCTTTAAATATCTTTAGAAACATTGTGGTGCATTATGCACTTCCTTATCTTGCCAAGAGCACATTACATCCCTCACAAGTAGAGGATATTCTTGTTTTCAGACTGAGGGATGACTTGTCCAAGGTCACACGCAGGGGATCTGTGCCAGCAATGGGAATGGAACAGAGGTCTCCCAGGTCTCAGGCTGGTTTTGTAATATCCATTAACCTGTCTGGGCCTGAGAAAAGGGAATATTGCAGTAGTTTAGGCCCTTTTCCCAAGAAGAACATTGAAGATAAACTAAGAGAGAAACTAAGCTGTACCTCCAGGTGGGACTGATGCTCTCTCACGTGAGGACTAATCATCTCACCGTGCTGTGAGCGCTGCTCTGTGCAGGATTCTCTTATCCTCTTTTCTTTATGTGACTTCCAATTATGGACACAAGTGCACAAAAACATACCCATGGCAACAGAATATTTTGTTCCACAGCTGACATTGCTTAAGTTCATCTCTCGTTCACACTGAGGCAGCCACACTCAAGTTTGGGAAAACAGCAGGTTAACAAGTGCCATATGGTGGGTTGCAAAGATCCTTTATTGACCCACCCTGTAAATAGAAGTCCGTTCTAGTTTACCCAAGCTGCTGCATCCATTCCACTGAATCACTGCAGAAATTCAGCTGTTAGCACCAGCAGCACATAAATCCTGCCAGACTATTGCAAAGGTGGCTTTGTGAAACACAGCTCGTCACTGAAGGGAGTCAGATTTGACAGTCAGGAAGCATTTTGAGATCTGGTGCTGATGATCCCAGAAGGGGCACCTGAACTATCGCCAGCTTGATCTTCTTTGTCTGAGGGCTGGCTCACAGTCTCACAGGTTCTTGCGTGCTCATTCCAGTTGTGCAAGGCTTTCCTGTCCCAACAGAAATTGCTGTCCCTTAAAGGGACGAGACTAAATGAGGTGGAGGGGGATAATAGCAGTGGGGAAGCTGGAGGAAACCAGATGCGACAAGTGCTGAAGTAGAACTTTTCAGCTTTGTGATGGCTTCCAGCCAGATGAGATCACAGCTCCTACAGAATCTTGTCTCCCATTATTTCCTTAATATTTTACTCTCTTCCTTAAGAAGCAGGAATTGCTAATCATCACCTGCCTTGAATACCCTCTGCATTTGAAGCAAATAGTAGCAGAGGGGGGTGGCTGACAAATGCTGGTGTTTATGGCCTGCAAACGGAATCCTTCTAAGCCTGTTTGGAAAACTAACAGGGGATGAAGTCTGGATTAAAAGAGACTTTTCCACCTCTCATCCCTGTGAATTTATGTTGAGATTACTAAAAGGCCGGCAAGGAGAAATGACTTGGCAAGCCTCCTTTCTTCTGCTCAGCATTCAGTATCATACATCAGCCATGGGGTCTGGTGGCAGGCAATAAATAGGACTCTTTGAGTATCTGAAGCTAAGCATCAAAATTCTTCCTAAGATCCCTAAGCACAGCTCTTGGCTGCTGCAGGTCTTGTAGGTACACTGTATGATTGGCTGATAGTAACCTTGCAGTAGATTAACAGACTGTGTCCAGAAAGCTGATCCAATTACTCTGCATCTGGGGATGAGCATGAAGACAGGCAGCAACCATGCAGCTTTCTGGAGAGACAGAGAGACTAAACACTGCCTGGAAGCGTGTATGTGCTACGTGCAGGCTCTGCCTGTGGGAATTAAGGGAGACAATGCGACAGATAGGGAACAATGAGTGTCTGTAATGTACAGCAACAAAGCCAAAGTAGCCCAGTGTGCTGCAGAACAGAGAAAGAGACTGTTAAACAGCAGCCCCATGAGGTAGAAATCCTGCCAAGCTGCTTAGAGGACAATCGACAGGCCCTCCTCAGCTGGAAGGTGGCTCAGTGCAGCGGAAAAGGCTGTGAAAGAGTGGGATGATGGAGGAAAAAGAGGCATCCTCAAGGGATCCTTCACAGAAAAAGAAAACAAAGTCACCTTCATTTTTGTTACTCTCTTCTTGTGGGTTCAGACCTCAGCGCAGACAACACAACACTTTGCCCACTGCAACGCAAACAGATGAGGTGAGGCTGTTGTGTGAAATGAAGCCCCGCCTCAGAAACAAAGCAGATTTCAGGTATTTTGCAGAAGGCCAGAAGAGAGTTTCACGTTCACCTGGTGAGCAGGGATGTCTGATTCTCCAAACCTCCAGTTTTATTTGAAGCAACCCTTCCAACACCACCTGGCTGCCCAGCTACCTCTGAGCTAGCCATCCTACTGACACAGCTCCAGCTCTCCATGCAAGCACTCCCCTAAAACCACAGCACCTCTACGAGCTGGGACAACACTTGGCAGTAAGAAGGACGTGGCGTAATGCTCCCTTTGCTTCCTGCACTGTGCAGCACAAGGCTGTGGGAGGCTGAGCACACATCACAGCCTGTGCACAAGAAGCCAGTGCGAGCGGGGAAGCAGAAAAATTAGTTCCTGGGCATTTTGATGGGAAAAAGAAAGGAAGGCATGAAAGCAGACTGGAAAGAGCCAGCGCAGGGCTCAGCCCTGCTTGCTGCAGTCACTCGCATTGTAGGGGAGCAGCACCCTCTGCTGCTGGCATGCTGGTCTCCAATGCACCTTTTTTTCTTCCAGAGACCTAAGTACTAGGAGAGAGGAGCTCGGAAAGGAAATGTCCCTCTACAAGTCAAAACACTGCAGCATGTGGGTGGTTTGTTTGTCAGACGGTTTGGTCATACAGCTGCTGGAAGAGGCAATGCCAGGCAGCATCTGCTTGCAACAGATAATAATGATGAGGAAAGGCCCTGGCCTTGTGCTGAAAAGATTTTGACTGTTGCTGTTCCCTGGCAAGTTCTCTTGTTGGTATT